GGATTGTCGGAATGCGGCTCCTTTCGGACACAAAAGCCTTTCCTCCACTGTCTATTTCTTTCCAGTATTGTTCCTAATGTCCTCTAATGACCGAGGGGAGGGAAGTCCCCAACAAACCGCCAGCCACCAACACCACACAAAGAGATGGAGAGCCTGCGCTGACTGCAGGCAACAAGAAGAGAAAGATTGGAAGCAATCGAGTCGGAGTGGAGAGTAATGTGCTCCCTCTCCCTCCCCCATGCTCTGCGACAGTGCGTCCCTCTCGCAGCAGTTCAAATTTGAGGTCACCCATTCAGTGCCATTTTGAGAACGGAGCCATCTGAGGTGCGGCCTTTGAAAATGATGGTCCGCGTGCTGTGGAGCGGGCGGGGCTAAACTAGGGCGGCAGCCAGGGCCGGGCTTGGAGATACGCCCTCGGGCGGGGCGGGGCGCTCGCTGGGCTCGACTAGCTGGGCTAGCCGCCCCCCGCGTGACGGGTCGACGGAGCCCTGTAAACTCCAGGACGACAAAGGTAGGACGCCTGCAGTAGTAGCACGCCACACGGCCTCAACGGGGCCCTCCGCCTCCGCCAACCAGGAGAGCCGCGGACGGGAAACGGGACGCAAGTAGCGGTGCGGGGATACGGACAGGACCCCCCCCCCCCTCACCTGGGGGTGCACGTGCAATTGCACGAGCACAGCTGATGTATGAACGGTGCTGCTGAAAGGAAGCAGATAACAAATCAGCGACACTCACCTCTCTCGGTACAAAAGGCATATCCGTTCCTTGGGCACTCTCAGCTTCTTGGAAGCCATTTTCTTGAGGGTATCCACACTTTCCAACTGGTCGACTTGCAGCGTAAACTGGCCACCCGTGGTCATCGCCACTGTGACCGTGATCGCATTGATGGCGGGGTGGCTGTGGCAGCCACACCCCGAGGAGGGGGAGGAGGACGCAGACGACGGCGACGTGGCCGCGGCCGTCGCGTTGGTCCCCGCGCCGGCGGCAGCCCCCGTCCCGGATCCTGGACCGTGGGCCGTCCCCGGGCTGGGGCCATGGCTGCTGCCGGGCCCCGGCTCGCTGCTCGGGCTGGGCGCGGACGCTCCGGCGCCGGCACCTGCCCCTCCGGGCCCGGGGCCCCCGGCCATCCCCCCGGCGCTATTCCCATCCATGGGATCAATCCTGGGGCGATGGAGGGCGGCAGGGCAGGCAAGGCGACGTGCCCCGCGAGCAGAGCTGGTCGGCGAAACGGGCACACGCAATCACAGGGGATACAGTCACAAAGCGGTGAGGAGGAGAATCGGCACGAAACGGTACGGCATCGATGGTACGGCGCGCTGCGGACCGGCGGTATGCGGTCGCCTCCACCTCCCAGCCCCGACTGACGTGACGGCACGGTCGGTGACGGGACGGTGGCGCGCGGCACGCCACGGCACGGGCCGGGCGTCTGGCGGGACTCCCCCCACCGCGACGGGTCGCCGTCCTGTGTACAGGACTCTAGGCTTTGGCTCGAGCCGTTCATCCCCATTTACAGAGAGCCGTGGAGGGGTTGCCTCTCCTAAGAGAGTTTGCGCAGCTCTATGTTCAAAATGGCGTGCAAGTTCTCTGGGAGTGTGTTCGCAATGGAGTGAAAACAACGAGGGCATATGTGTCAACTTATTTGGAAATGAAATAGAAGTCTTATGCATTCTGCGAACCTTTCTGTGTGAAGTCTTGGTAGCTGCTAATTATTGGGCACCTCCCGAACACGTAAGTGCACATCTCATGATCAATGTTTACCTTTTGCTTTCACACTCTATGCAGCCGTACTTCTTTAATTTAACTAAACGTCTTTTATATTTGCTTATTCACAAGCTTTTATTCAGATGTCTCAACGCGGTTTCAATTATACTTTCTTGTTGAGTTATTTTACCCTCTTGAAAGGAGTGTGAAATTGCTGCATGACTGATCACCTCCTGATCCCCTGTTCCTATCTGTCAAGTATGATAATAACTTTCAGACAGTCTAGGCCTGTACAATTACCTGACAGACCGATTTAAATTTTTTGATCTTTTCCTAATATTGTTTAGTTGCTTTTCTACCTTTTATCTAGGAGTTTTGTAATAACCTCTGTGTTCATTCAATGTGATGTAGTGTTGAAATAAAATATTTTATGTTGCAGATTTACTTTCAAGTGTTGTCAGTTATCATGAACTCTTGGGCTGTAAGTCTTAGTGACAAAGCATGGGATTTTGATGAAAATGAATCCTGTGATGTAGTTTTTATAGATGGACCTCCAAACCAGAGGCAAATGTGTTTCATTGCTCCGGGTGCTTCTGATAATCAACATTTAGACCATGGTGTAGCTCCAACTTCATCAGGATCAAAAACAAATGATGGTAATTTCATTATAAAATTATTTATTTTCCAGAGTATTTGCTATTTTCTCTTGATTTTGTCTTGCATGCTTCAGAGTTTGGAGAGATATGGGTGCCTCCGCCCAAAAAGGATGATGCACCTGAAGATCTCGATGGCCCTCCTCTGAGGAAGCTATTTGTGGGAAACCTGCCTTACAGGGTGAGTTACCTTCGTTGGTCATATATTTAACTTTATAGTATTTTCAAATGGATCAAGATTTTACGAGAATTTTTTTAAATGTAGGTTACAGACTCTAAACTTAAAGCATTTTTTACTAAATTTGGAAAAGTTATCAATGCTCATGTTAAACGAGAGCCAACCAAGAGACGACATGCATTTTATGGATTTGTGACGTTTCACAGACCAGAAGATGCTCGAAAGTAAGTGATGGTTGATGGCCCAATGCAAATGAAAAGTTGCCAGCATACTGAAACTGTTTCTCATAAACCATTACTTTTTTTTTCTGAACTACAGTGCCTTAAAGGCCACCCCCAAAGAACTGTCTTTGTTTGGGTACCAGTTATGTGTTAACAAGGCAGACAGAGTTCATCAACCAATTGAACTCTCTGATGGTACAGTGCAATGGTTGCCCGGCAAACGCTTTTACAAAGAAAGTGGAGAACCTGTATGTGATAAACTAGTAAGTTCAGCATTCAATGTTCTCTGTTAACTCATTCTGAGTTTTGAACTTTTAAAATATTAATTTCTTAAATATTTTAGAAAAGAACCCGCATTGACCACCAATCCAACATGATCATGGGAGAGTCTGAAGATATGGATATTGATGAATACCGAGAAGGAGAATTTTCTCCATTTTCAACCTTGAATGATGACTGTCTGCTTCATATTTTTTCTTTTCTCTCTCTCACTGATCGTGTTCGTATTGAAAGAGGTAAGTAGTCTAGTTTTTATGAAAAATATTTATCTATCTACCACCTATTTATTGCTAGTTTTTTTGTATCTGTAACTCTCATGGGCATTCTCTGTTGCTTGATACTCATTTCTGGTACACTGATCTTCATTCTTGTGTATTACAGTGTGCAAGCGATGGCAGTTTGTTGCTCGAAGTATGTGGCGCCGTATGCATTCTCTTGATATGCAACAGCTTGCTCTACCACCACACCATCTGCACAGTATGGGGGTCTTAAAAAGTATACTGATGCGTTGTGGTGACAGCCTCTCTTTTCTTTCCTTGGCGATATATGCTCATAGTCGTCACAGACGGAGCAAGTTTCTTCCAATAGTTGGTAATATTAATGGATGAAAATAGTTCTGTAAATTTTTTGAAGTATTTTAACTGCAGTGATAGTAATTATACTTTAAAACTATTTTCCAGGATCACTTTGCCCTAACCTTCAGGAATTAGATGCCACAGGAGTAAGACTTAACAAATTTGGTCTTCAAAGACTGGGTAGTGGCTGCACAAAACTTCGAAAACTCAATCTGAATTGTGAGCTTATACCAACCAATATACTATTCATATGGACCATTTAACAACACTGAAATTAATTTTTTGAATTTTTTGTAGATTGCTCTGGTGTTGATGAACGCTTCCTTGAAAATCTTCTTAAAATATTACCTGAATTAGAAAGCCTAAGTATTGCACAGTGGGGAGAATTAACAGGACAAGCTTTAAATAAACTTCCTCCAGAAACAATGAGAGAATTAAATCTCAATGCCTGCAGTAACTTAAGACCAAATGAACTTCTAACAGTAAGTATTTATAAAGAAAATTACAGAGAAAGAAAATGTTTGTACTCTAACTATACTTGAGCTTTTCTATCTCCTCTAAGGCTGTGAAAAGGCTCCCTCTGCTGGAAAGTTTATCGCTGACATCATGTATAAGTCTTTCAAATCAGCATGTAAAGACTTTATTTGAATCAGTTCCCCAACTTCGGTCTCTTAATATGGCACAGTATTTTCCAAGGCTCAAGTACGCCTCATTAGAATCAATAGGCATGCTAAGCAATCTCCGGTGTCTGAATCTTGAGCTGAATGACCTTTTGACTGACAGAGGAATAGAGACCATAGTTGATGGTTGCAGGGAACTTGAAAGTCTTAATATAACAGGTTTGTTTGGGTTGTATTTAAATACTTGACCAATTAATCATGTAAGTCAAAGCTATTTTCTCTATCTTGGTGTAAAAATATTTCCACAGGTTGTAGAGCATATGCCCCAGAGCATTGTGTAACTACTAAAGGCATAACACTTCTAGCAAAATTGCCTTGCTTGCGAGAGTTAAAAATGAGCTATCTTGCTGACATTAATGATGGAGCTCTAACGGTCCTTGCTCAGAATGGTACACTACAAAAGTTGGAATGCCGAGGATGTCCATCACTTAAAGGGGATGGATTCTTAAGGTGTGTTTTCTGGAAGCGTTTATGCCACTGCCACTATGTAGCGTTCAATAGCCATTCTTTTAACAAGCTCTGTTTCTTAATTAATATTATTCTTTGTAGGATTATATCTCTTTGTCCTGATCTGGAACTCTGTGATGTTAGTGGTTGTGATCATGTGAAAATTTCAATTGTCAAGACAGCAATAACAGCCGTAAAATTGCGCAATAACAATATATTTCTGCGCCTTGTTGTGGGTGGTAAGTTGTATTCCATTTCAATCCTTGAAAATTTTGTCTATCTCTTCTTTTTATTGTACTATTGTAAATTTAGTTTCAGTATGTCAGAAATAATATTTAAGTTGTCTGTTTAGGAACTGGAATTATGTGGGAGCAACTTGATTCCTGCAAACAAGATATTCCTCCACATCTAAATGTTGAACTTGTTGATTTATCAGTACCCCACCTTCGTCCTGATTTTGTTGATGGAATATATTTTGATAATTTTTCTGATTACTCTGATGGAGCAGATGATGATTTGGATATATACGATGAAATCTGTGATGACCTTGGTAAGTCACATATTTTATTTTCTTCCTCTTGCACTTGCTTACACATGAAAGATTCCGTTCTGTTCACACAATTTCTGAACAGAAATTTCTCTTTTCACTTTTCTGTTTTTTAGTTTCAGTTTTTTAGTTGTTTCTTTTTATTTTTCAGAGGGCTTTTGATATGAATGTTTTTAAAAAAGTACAAGTAAACATGTGCTGACAGTCTGATACCTTGGGACAGTTTCCCTTCCCTTTAATCCTGGAAAATTTAAGTAAATATCTTATTTATTTCTCCCTTCAAGCCACACCTTCAATGTAAAATTGACCAAGCTGTTTGTAGACCAAGAGAAAGGAACATATTTTTTTAAAAATCTAATTTACCTTATGTATGTGTAATTGTTGCCCTTGGCAATGTTTTACTTTATCCCAACCTTGTCTGAAGATTTTGACAAATTATCAACGCTCTTCATTTGGCATTTTGCTTGGCTCTTTTGACAGGGCCAGACGAGGATGAAGATGATGACATGCAAGTACCATCACCAACACCTAGTTCTTAGTCGTAGCTTATGTAGGAGTCTGCAATTAGGTACTAATCATCCAAGTTATTATACAAGTTTTGGTTGGAGATTGTCATTTTGTTTCTGTTTTTATTCTGTCATTTGTGTAATTTTTACATAATTTACTTTTACACCCTCTGATTCTTTGGCAGTTCCAAATTACAGTAAGCTAAGCAGTATTTACTGAAACCAAAACCTCCAAGGGTAGGCTCACCCAGACCTGCCTGTACTGTAATACATAAACTCTTTCATCCTGAGAATATATATTAATTTTGTAACAGATTTTGTTAATGTACATATGTGTATATTTTGTAACTATTAATCATGTACAAAAAAATGCTTTAAAAGCATTTTGTTTAACTAAGTGTTTTCCTGTTTTATATGTATATAAACTACATAATTTTAATTCAAAGTTTTCACAAAGGTATTTATGTGTGAATGTGCAATTATTGGATCATGTGCTATGAACTATAAGTGATGTGTCCTTCAGTTTTCCACAAACAATGAACTTTAAATTCTACTCTAAGAGTAGCTGCAGCACATATATTTGAAATGCATTATAGCATTACCAAATTTGTATTATCTTCTTTCTGTTACTCTATTTTGATGTGTCAACTCTCGCTAAAGCTCTTCAGCAAATTGAAAAGTTTTGGAACGTTGTATTAAGTGGATTAATGCTGTAAATGTTTGGGATTTTTTTTACGCGTAATATGACTAATTTGTGTACCAAATCGCGACGCTGTAAGCTGAGAAACATTTTAGCACGAGTTTACAGTACTTTAAATGGTTTAAGTATTGTCAGACCCAGAATGTGCTCCTAGTTTAGAAGAAGCTGTAGTATTTGATGAAAAATGGAAAAAAGTGTTGAAACTTGTGGATTTTTTGTCTTAAAACAAATATTTGAGTGGCATGAATTGTATTCTGAATTTTAAATCTTCTTCTTTGTGATTAAACTTGTGTGGTTAGGTTAGCCTTCAATCAAAATTTGTGTGTTTACACACACTCTAGTTTACTTTGCTGCGTATATTATTATTAGGTCTTCCTTGTTAATTCCTTGTTAGTAAGGTTAGTGGATTGAAATTGTTCAATGTTAATGATGCTGATTCATATTGGTGCCATACAATTGACTGATAACCATGAATTTTGTTGATAGGTTTATGCAACGCTTGACTAGTTCACACTAATTCACATAAACAGGGAAGCTATAAGTTGTTAAGATTTCGTTTCTTATGAATCTGAATTTGTTTCTAGAGCTGTCTAGAATTGTTTATTTTGGAACTGATGTTTGTTTGGTGCTGCAGAACTGTAAATATTGTCTGTGGTTGGTCTGTACTTGGACGATACACATAATTTTGTATGCCTTCATATTTGATCATCTCTTTTTATCTTAATCTTTATGCTTCTCATTAACACTAAAAAGTCCATTTTCTGTCAACTGCCACTAAGGAATCATCCAACTGTGATTTTCTCCACTGTGTTCATGAGCTCAGGAGACATTTTCTCTTAACTTAAATTTTATACCTTGTTAAATGTGGAACTGAATGTCTGGAAACACCACTGAACATGTGTTTAAAAAGAGTCTATTGAAACCTCAGGCTTTGTTACCTTGTAAATTTTTGACTCGCTTTGCACAAAGAGTTTTGTATCTCACATACCTGTTCAGTCCAAAATGTTTGAGACAATTAATCTTTTAATTAATTCTGATTTTAATATTGGGCATATGCTTTTCATGTAGTTGTCCCTCAAAACGGGTAACTGAATTTCGAGGATAGTAATCTAAATTAATATTTTGGTGTGGACTGTCAAGAAGATAGATAATTGGTGTTTCCAACGTGATAAGAAAAGGAACGTGGTATATCAGGCACCAAAGTCACGTTCCTTTATTCTGAGAGCATTGATCTCGTTACATTTTATTATTATTTTTAGATGTCTTGTTGGTGTCCTTTTTATTACTGGCTGATTTAGTGTTAGGATGTGAACTATACTGTTCAACTGCGTTTGTGCGATTTATCATAATGCCGAGAAGCGTAAATAAAAGTTATGTAAAATACATAGTAGATTCCTCAACGCTCAACCGCATTCATCCCCGAGAATCACAACAACGAGTCGTGTTACACGACAAACTGGCAGCTCACTCAGTCTTCAGCGGAAGGTCCTCCTCCTCTGGGTTCATAGCAGATAGCAGAAGTGAGTTTAGTTGCCGCTTTCTGAACATTTCGCGCCATAGGCCGAGCGTGACTGGAATTGTTATCGCAGGCTACCCAACAAAACACTGCTCACGCTGGGCTCAGCGTACGTTGTGGGGTAACGTCCTCGTCCTCCCTCCCTCTCTTTCCTTTGACAAAGCGCTGTTACCTCGTGTCGCCCGGTGAGCAGACGGAGACGGTGTCACGCTGGGCTGGTCTACGCGTGCCATTGGCACGTCAACGGCAGCCTAAGACAAAAAACACAAAACTGGGGACAAGAACAACGCGGATCGGATTGTCGGAATGCGGCTCCTTTCGGACACAAAAGCCTTTCCTCCACTGTCTATTTCTTTCCAGTATTGTTCCTAATGTCCTCTAATGACCGAGAGGAGGGAAGTCCCCAACAAACCGCCAGCCACCAACACCACACAAAGAGATGGAGAGCCTGCGCTGACTGCAGGCAACAAGAAGAGAAAGATTGGAAGCAATCGAGTCGGAGTGGAGAGTAATGTGCTAACTCTGCCTTTCCAGCAAACTCGACAGAAACTTCACGAGCCATGGATTTCCGCCTACAGAAATTAGACATAAGTCCATGGCATGTCACACCTGCTTTGACAAGGAATCACGAATTCGTCAGTCCACGTCCTACACGTATGTGCGTTGAACGCGCCCACCCTGCCGATCAAGTGGCGCGGCGATAGTCCACCGAGCACCTGGCTGCACGCGGCGCTGCTGAACAACGCCGAAAAAGTGCACTGCGTATAAACGGCGGACGCGACGCGTAGGCACAGCTCGTTTGTAAGTACGACCGTAGGACATCCAGTCGCGGCAAGACTAATCCCGGCCGGAGGGAGGCGGGAAGGGAAAGCCACCCGACGCGGGCGCGTGGCGAGGTGGCGCGGCTATAAAGGCGCCCAACTTCACACTACGCTGAACTCCATTTCCCGCCGCCGTCGCATCGACACCATGACGACAGCGCTCGCGATGTCCAAGGTGGGTACCCCCAGAGAGCACGGAGCAGATAGTCCGGGCGGCTGGACCCCTGCGAACCGTAGGGTAGGCCGCCCGCCTAGCCCCGCTGTACTGCATGGTGGGATTTTGCCTGACTACCAGGCGTTTGTCTTACACCTGCCAGCCGTTGAGCCCCCGCCGAGCTCGGCTGGACTGCACGATAGGACTTGGCGCATCTTTTACCCTACCTGCCGAAGAGTGGACCCGCCACCGACGAGCTCGGCTGTCCTGCATAGTAGAACTTTGCGTACCTGCTAGTCGTAGGGTAGACCGCCCGCCGAACTCAGCAGTACTGCATAGCAGGACTTTGCCTACCTACCAGGCGAGCGTCTTGCCCCTTGTGCGCGCTGTTTCACCATGTCTGTCTGCTCTCAGCTGGCCGCCGGCGCGGTGCTGGTGGTGCTGGGCGTGGTTCTGCTGGAGCCCGCGTCGGCGCGCCCCTGGCCGCAGCCCTACCCTCTGCCGCGGCGCTACGTCGCCGTGCCCCTGGACGACGTGGAGCTCATCAGGCAGGTCCGCCAGGCGCACCTTCCGCGCGGCCACCACGGCGGCAGACACCGCCACCGGGAGCCCCAGCCGCAGGCCTCCTCGTACGAGGCCGATGGCGATCACGACGGATTCGCCCCGGACTCTGACCAAGCTAGGAACAGGTTCGAACGGCAGTCTGGTGGGGGCGGGGGCGACGACCACGAGTACGTGGACTACGGCGCGCACACTGGACACCACGGCGCGTTCGGGTGGTACGCGGACTTCCCCGTCGTCAGCAAGGGCCATCGATGAAGACGTGGCCTGCTGCTAGTCTAAATTATTAACGACCAAAAATTGTATTTCAGATTTGATGCCATTATGACAAATCTGTGTATGTGGGAGGGGGAAGGGGGGACGATTCGTTCCCTGTCTGTTTGCTTTAAGTGTCTTTAAATCATTAGGTCAAAAAGATACGGGCTAATATGGCATGGCATATGTTTATTACAAACGTCTGATTTATATGGTTAAAAAGTAACAAAAATGATAACATGAGACGATAATGATAATGTATTCTTAGTACTACATGAAAATTCGAATCAGTACTGTGTCGTTTCAACGTCGATTCCAGTATTTCGACATCGTTTGGATGTGGATAAAGGACATGTTAGCCAATTGACCAGCATCATGCATAAAACTCAGTCATAGAGATGTGACATAAATATGATAAATCAACACACTGGTCACAACTGATACATGATCACATGGCAATCAACATATTAATCCTACTGATCCTCATTCAAAAAATGCAACTTTTTCTTGTTTTATTTCCTGTTTATGTCACACATTGAACATTTTTCCTGCTAGTTTGGCACGGTCTTCATTGTTTCTTTGACGAATCATGTCTTCTAGAATCTTCAATTCTTGACTTACTGATTTTTCTAGCTTGGAATTGAGTTTTACCAATTTTTCAAAGTCTGATCGTGCTTCTGTAGGATTCCATGCACCCATGTGTGCTTTAGCTCTTCGAAACAAGGCTTTTTCATTTTCTGTGAATAATAATTACAAATTTGGTGCAAATTAGTAGCAAATGATATGGCTTCAGTTCTTCAATTTTGCTTTCTTACCTGGATGAACACTTAAAACAGTTGAACAGTGTTCTATGACAGGGTAATACTCTCCCTGCTTTAGTTTACACTGACTCAAGTTTAAAAGAAGAGGCATCTTAAATTCTTGAAGTTCTAACCATTCAGTGTCATGAGGCTTCTCCCTAGAAATACAAAAATTGGGCTTTGTAAATTTGGGGAAAATGATAAGTAAGAAAGCTGTAATAGAATTCAATTCCACATACTTTAACATGAGCTGTTCAATGAATCCAAGAGCAAGTGTGTAACTTTCACAGGCCTCTTTATACTTTCCCTCTCTATAAAAGCTATTACCTTCCTCTCTTAGCTTAGGGATATGATCTAGTTTCTCTTGTTCTGACATTTGCCAAGATTCTTTCTTATATTCGTCAGGTGCTTCAACTTTCAGTAATTCTAAAAGTAAAAAAGTAAAAAAAAACAAAGAAAAATATTAATTTAGCCATTCTAAATTTTGTCAACATGTTGATTCATAGTTTTCCATTCAAAAATGTAAAATAGAAGAACTAACCAATAATAAATTCAAGATCTGCTGGATTTTTAACTAACTTATTGAGATCCTCATACCCTAGACCTTCATTTTGCAAAGTAACTCCGCAACAGTGATGCCTTTTGGCGTCTGGTGGTTTACCCATATCTCTCAGGGCTTTGGCAACAAATGGGTATGAGAGAACCAACTGTAAAAAAAAATCAATCACAATAAAACATGATAAAAGATTTACCAACAACATTCAAAAGTTAATATTATACATGACTTACACTTTTGTCAACTGTAAAAGATGAAACTTCATGCAAACTCATCAACTGCACTACCGTCTCCCACACCTCTAGTTTAAACTTTTTACCAAGAATCAACTCCATCGGTTTACCCATTTTACGACTGTCATCAAGAACTGTTCCATCTTCATCAGTCAGTTTTGTAATAAAATGAAAAGCAAGCTGGGCAGAGAAAATTTTTTGATTAAAAGTTATAAGACTGTAATCAAACAAACCTATGTTTCAAATGAAAACAGATTTGTCATGTAAATATAAAAGCTTACTTTACAGCCAGGCTTGAAATCCACTTTTTCACTGCCAGCATGTAAAATTTTCTTCTTGATCGGAGGTTCAGACATGGTAAAATAAGGACTAAGTCTTTCGTCAGGAAATAATTATTATAAAATAACCTCCACAGACAGGAAAAGAGCGAAAGAAATTTGTTGATTTAAAAAACTTTAAAATGTAACACAGTAAAATGTATCAAACCAGAAACAAAATGCGCAAAATGAATCTGATCGAGAAAGTAAAGGGTTAAGCAGCTGTGCTAGCAGACAACAAATAACAAAAACAAACAAAATGTCGCCTGAGCTTCCCGACTTCAGGCAGGAACGCAGTCGTTTTGTTTGGTTTCAGTTGGATCGGAGAAATCTGGAACATTAACATCTAACGAACCCAATATTCAGTTATCGATATGAGACCTGACAAACTGAAAGTTTTATAGTAATTTTTCGAATTTCTCTATATTGGCTCCATGTGCAAAGGGAAAGGCTCCCTGCCGAAACTGACCTTTCTCTCCCCCTCCCCCCCCCCTCACCTTTTCCACCCTTCCTTAAGGGGATGGAGATGTAGAGTAGTGCATGAATGAATTTTGTGTTTCTTAGTTCACTGGATTAAGTTTTTAGAAGAGCACGTTAATTGCGAATTCAACCCGGTATATCGTTTTGAGCTATGGCACAGAGGGGAACGAATGTGTTTCTTGGCTTTGACGACGAGGTTATCTCTGAAAAATACAAAAGCCAGGTTAACTTTTCGACCAACAAGCTGGGAGGGAAACCTGTAAGTTGTTTGGTGAAGAGATTGACAGTACCTATATTTTATTTTCCTGAATAATTTTCAGGTCGTTTAAATTTTTTGAATCATGAAAGTTGATGGTTCCTTCTTTGCTTTATATTCCGAAACCTTTGTGCTCATGAGCAGTCAGCTGTTCCCACTTCTCACCATTAACTGTTTTTTTATTTTTCAGGACTGGCCTATTGATGGTGTTACCTCACCGCTTTGCAAGCTTTGTGGCCTTCCTCCTCCCCTCATTTTGCAAATTTATGCCCCACTCGAAAATTCTCCATATCATCGGACACTATACCTTTTTGGGTGCCTCAGCCCTAACTGTTGGAATCAGAATGAAAGGTTTGCAAACGTTTTCTGTCTGAAACATATTAATGAGTTATGACACCTCATCTTATCTGTATCCTTTTTGTCAGCTGGATTTGTCTCCGCAGCCAAGTATTGGACAATTGCTCTAAGGAACAGGCCTCTAAAACAACATCTTCAGCTACTGTTGCATTGAGTGCCTCTGATTGGTGTGCAGATGCTGACGATTGGGATGAAGATGTAGAAAATGGGAACCTTGTTGCTGCGCCTGAAAGAAATGATTTATCTGATGGCGAATGTGATCATAGTTACAACACCTGCACTACCAGTGGTTCTCCTGATTCAGCTGATGATGTAGATGATGTCCTTGATGTTGATGGTCAATCCACTGTATGTTTCAAGTACTTTCAAACAGCTTGATAATACTCTCTTTTATTTACAAAAACAATCATTTACTTATTTATGCTTAATTTTACAGGTTTCTCTTAGTACCCAACTGGGTAAAATGCGAATGGATGCAGTTTCTCAAAGGGATGCTAATTTTAATGCATCATGGAACAAAGGACGACTTGAAGGTGCTCGAGCAAATGCACATTCTCCCCAGGCATCTGCTGAAATTGAGGGTGATGAGAGTGAACTGGTATGCATCATAACATCTGCTGATAGTTTTTCCTGTTTTCTACTTTTGTATTGTGTACTATTTCTGTACCCTTTTTTACAGGTGTCTATCGACACTCCAACTGGACCTCAGTTAGACCTTCATGCTTTACTTAAAGAGTCTGCTCCATTACCGAAGGACATAAGAAATGCACAATTTACACCTTTTTTTATATGTGTTACAGAAGAAGACTCAAAGAGGTATTATCTTAAAATCATTTTGACTATTTCCAATTCAATTACAAATACGCTCACATGGTAAAAATATATTCTAAAACTTTTAGGCGCGAAACTGAAGTTTCAAGTCATGTGCGTTTACTTTTGGCTGAGTACCAACAAAATCAAGGACAAGCCTTTGAGTCTGATGCACAGGAAGCTGTTAGTGGCTGTGCTGGAGGTGATGTAGAAAAGTATGAACAGTCAATTCCTGCACACGGAGATATTCTGTTTCATCGGTTTCTGCAACATATACAACAAGCTCCTGGTCAAATTCTGAGGTAAATTCCACAAAACTGGTTGTGGAGTGTTTTTACATTACACTTTTTACCATATCATATCTCTTGTAAATTATCAGTTTTGATTTGTTCATTTTCTTGATCTAGGTACTGTCGAGAAGGAGGTGTTCCCCTTCCTATTGCCCCACTGGCGGATATTCCATCTACATGCTCATATTGCCAAGGAGAAATGATTTTTGAACTTCAGGTGCTTCCTTCGATCATTCCCAAGCTTAGACTACAAGTAAGTCGTGGTTAGAAAGTGTTAAATCAAATTTATGGCCTCTTACATTAAAAAATGTTTGTTATCTATTACCTTTTAGGTTCAGGGTGGAGGAGATATTTATGGAAGTCACATTGAGTTTGGAACTGTTTTAATTTGGACTTGTCGCCAAAGTTGTTGGGCTGTTGGTGATAATGTTCGAGAAGAAAAAGTAGTTGTGCAAGCGGAAAGGTTTTAGTGCAGATCTCAATATGTAGGAATTCTAAGGCATTTAAGGCATCTATCTTAACTAGGTATGCATTACTTTGTAATGGCTGTGTAAAAAAACAAAAGAAAAGCCTGTGTTTCACTTACAGATTTTTTCAGGCATTATACACATTCCTATATGTTTCAATACTTTTGTTTTATGTATATGTACTCTAAACTCTATGAAGTAGAGTAGTTCAAAATGAAGGATATGTGACGAATTCCTGTTTACTTATTACCTGAAGTATGTCGGAAACATACTGACTATGCATTCATTTCTTAAGAGCATTTTTCCATTTTTGAAGGATACCTCTCTTTAGAATGGCCGCTGTCCAAATGATCTTTACTGCCATGAAATGGCTCTATCGTTGGCGCATATTACTTAACAATTAATAAACATTTGGCAGATGCAGATTTTCTTTAACATCCATTAATTAAATTTTGCTTTAACTGTTTTGTAGTTTGACGCATTACTTTTTTTTTGTACCATACCATAGATTCCATTGTTTTACTTAGGTTTACTTGCAATTTATGCTGTTTGCAGTAGTGTGTCTTACTCCTGCAAACAATATTTTAAATCACAGCAGTGTATTGTGATCTTCAGTCCAGCTGTCTTCTTTTTTCATGTTAGCTGTAAATGATGATTTTCTGAATCATGTTTTGTCCTTTGGCCAGTTAACCCTGTGCTTTTGTTTTCTAGTCAAGCATTTAGCTGTTCAGGGAAAATAGTACAATTGTTCTCATTTATAATAATAATAATGTTCTTGTCTTAAAACAGTTAAGAAATAATCTTTTCTCAGTTGTGGACCTTTTTTTGTTTGAGAGGAACCTTGACTTCATTGCCATTGTGTGAGTTAGTCTCTCACTTTAACTGTGATATATGTGACAAATGACAGAATTATTTCATTGTGGCTATTCCCTGTGAGTTGTATTACCATCAATGGTTTCATCACACTGTTGTATTGGGGAATCAAAGGAATACCTATTTATTAAAAAAGAAAAGAAAAAGGTTGTGCCACAAGACTTTAAATAAACCTAGTTTTGTGGTGTGATAGCCAAGTTCTGTTCTATATGTGGTGAAATGGAAATGCTGTGCATTTATGGAAAACTATCTGTGCTGTTGATAAATGTTAATTAATTATTTGTGTTTTACTGATACTTCCTGATGGATGAACTTTGATGGAGGTGTTACTTTGTATCTGAAGGCTCAGCTAGTTTCAGGTACTGTGATTTTATCTAAAAGCTGACAGTGAGAGACTTGGAAATTCTTTGATGGTTCCTCTGATTGAGTACAAACACTCTCTTTGAAATTTGATATGCAAAGTACATGGTGTCTATTCCGTTACCAGTAGAAATCCAAGGCAAATATGTAGTCGTCTATTATATACCTAAATGCTGGATTAGTTTTTATGCTGATTGACAAGTCATAACTCTTTATGTAATTAAATAGTTTGAAATTATAAAACTGTGTTAATTATCTTTGTTCTACCTTATCCTCTGACTGTAAATGTTAACCATTTTACTGTCTAAAGTAAGTGTTACAGTGACCTATACCTTGACATGTTTATTGTCATGGTAGTACATGAACGCTATTCTTTTGTTTCCCTGCAGAAGAACAAAATCGATGTTGAAATAAAGATTATTACCTTACCAATGCAATATGGTGTATGTCAATACTCATCAACAATCACCAGTTCTTCATAATCTTCTTTTAACATCAATGATGTATCTCAATTCTTTGTGTATCAATTTAAAAGGGTGTCACAAACTGATTGGTGTCACTAAATCCGTGACATTTCAGATAGATAGGAAAAATAGGAATTCAATACAAAGTAAGCATTTTGTTGGGTACAAAGTGTAATCACAATTAAAAAACAATCAAATTTATTTAGAGAGAAGAACACCCTCCTGTCTCTGTTTAACTGCAACATATGAGTTAACAAGGTGTTACATCAAGATCACATGCAACGTGCCATGAAATTGAACAATACCAGAGACCTTAAAAATTAACAAGGAATTTATCCTTCAGGAGAAGTATAAAGGCATATAAATTATGCTAACAGGCTGCATGACAAGGTCAGCTTGTGAATTACAAGTATTTCTCAGTACAAGACTCGCAGAGTCATTCATTCAGCATGATTTGAGAAAAGAATAAAATGTGGCCAATTAGCTAATCCAGTTTTCAGTTTAAAAAACAACTCATATACAAATGAGATATGTATGCATAGAATGAAAGCAAACCTAGATGGTAGTGCAACTGAAATACAGATCTCCAAATCCACACCAATTACTAAAACAATGAAAATTCGTAGGATTCCTTCAATTTAGAGGAAGAAATAAAAATCTCCGAGCATGTGTAGTTATCATGCACTGAACAATTTAAAAAAATATTAATTCTAAAAGACCTAACTCAGAGAGCAGATAACAAATCCTATTATCTCTAATATCACATTAAGTGCAAGGATGAGATTTGTACATTATACATGTACATGTGTGTACACACCTTAAGTACATGAGGAACACAGGTGGGGAAACTATCTCTCTCTCCCACCAACTAGGTCATTTTGAATAAATAAACATTAAGATGGCATATTTCATACAATTAAGTCATGATCAAAATAAGTTAAAAGATAGTTAAATTTCATACACAACAAAAAAAACAATAGGAAACTTAGCATAAAAAAACTTTTTGAACACGAAAGATCCTTTGTTTTGAAAATTGAGAAACTCATACAAATAGTAAAATGACTATTGAGAGGTATTGTGGTAGTTGCTACCAAAGTTACCAGATCTTCCAAACTGACGTCCAGACCCAATAGGAGAATTCAAAAAACTATTTTGAGGATTACCCCTAACAGGTCTTCCACTTTTAGAAGGAGATTGGGAATTTGAAGACGTAGGGTTTGACACATTTCCCTGCAGTTGAGAGAAACGGTGAGCAGGCTTGGTATGAGAAAGTTTCTCCCATAATTTGCAAAGTTGAGATGCAACATGTGGTTCTACTTCCTGCAAAAGAGAGAGAGAGAGAGCGATGATGAATGTATGGAGAAAATAAGTACTTAGTCACACTTAACCAATAGCTCTTACCTGGCCATCACGGCTTGTTTGAATATTGCGGTTCTCATTGTAAGGATTCATAATATTCCGTGTGGCATGGAAAGGAATATCACCATACTTCAGCCACTTTATTGGTAAAGGTGAACAAAGATTGGGGCCTGCCATATCTTGCACATGAACTTTACCACTATCTCTTACATCACTAACATCACTAACCAGGCTTGCAACTCCTTGGAAATTTCCACTTCCATGAATGCTGAAAATTAACATAACTGCAAATCCCTCCTATAACAAAGTAAAAAAAACAAAAAAAAAACAAAAAAAAAACACGTTACAATTATATTATTAATAATTCAGATAAATGTCAAGAAAACTCAAATGAAGAATTCCTTTACCCGAAACACTGTTATCAATTTATTTTCAGTGGTCGCTGTAAAAGCCCACACATTTTCTCTTAAAGAGGCATTAATGGCTCTGGGATTACCTGCTTTGATAATAAAGTACCGAGCCCCTACAGAAATCAGATATATATTAGCAAAAAAAAAAATTATTTCAGGGCATAAAATTCAACATATAATCAAATAGGTATTACCACATACCTTTTTTAGAGGATTCCACCTCCGGAAAGGAAAAGTCTTGCTGTATCATTGAATCATCTGCCGAACTAGAACTATGACCTAATAACACAGAAAAATTTGTCAATGATACATATAAATAAAATAGATTAACTAGTACAATCATTGGAGAAAAAGGATAACAGAGGACTTACCACTTTCTGAACCATATTTCCTATTCATTCGTCTGGAATTTTGAAAAAAGCGCTGACTGTGATTTGAATTTTCAGATGAAACAGAGTCAGTATCATTTGTGTCTTGCCGCCTTCCACCTACTAAAAAATAGGGGAACAAAGAATAATTTTCACAAAGTTAAAAGAGAAACGCAAGTTAAGAGAGTAACATTAAAGTAGTTTATTGTAGCATGAATTTCCTACCAGAAGACTGAAAGTCAATGTTAACAGGTCTTGGGCGTTGTCCTATGCCATCAGGTTGCTGTAGGCCTATTTTCTTTTCCTCAGATGAGAGAATTTGAACAACAGCTTGAATTACAGCATCATCTGCCTAGAAGTGAAAAACATCATCCAAATAAAATAAAACTGAAAGGAGAGATCAGGACTGAAAAAGTTCATATTTCTTACAAATAACTTACAGGATTCCAGTTTTTTGAAGGATTTCGCATTCGACGAAGGAAAGTTGCACTCCACTTTTGACGCAATTGGAAAGCAAGATGGGCAGCTTCCGAGTCAACACAGAAATTAATCCATTCATCAAGTTTTAACATGCTATCATAGTCATTGTGTTCCTCCCATTCTGAATCACTTTGATATTGATTAATGCTTCCTTCCACTGGAAATGAGATTTACTAATTACTTTGCTGCACCAAAATAATGAGAAAGACGGAGTACTGTTTGTTTTGTTTTACTTACACTCACTGGATGATAAGGCATCTGATGGAAGTCGCAAAGGTCCAGCGAAGAGAGCAATTGTGATTGGAGAAATAATGGTACACATACGGATCTGACACAACTTCCCAGTTCGATTCATTTCTTCATACACAATCCAGTCTGTAGGAAGTTTTTCAGAGACTTTTCCCTCTCTTGGATCTAAATCTCGTAATGTAGAGGATGGATGTACTACCACAAGGGCTTCTTTCCTACAAAAAAAATATAAGAATGAAATTGTTTTTAAATCTTAGCAATATTACAATGTTGGATGAAACATCAACATCAAAAAACTTACATAGTTCGCAATTGCATAGCCTCTCTGTCAACGCGAGCTATATTTGGATAGAAACCAGCTGTGAGAGCAGCTTTCACAACAGCCCAGTTTTCGGCATTGGTGTTCAAATCCCTGATATCACCCCCTCCTTTGGCTCTAACAAAACCAGAAGCACGTAATTGACCAAGCAACTGAGCCCTCAAGCTCATTACTTGCTCCATTGTAGCTGACGAGATATAATTTTTCTGACAAAATGATACTTCGCGGCCACTGGAACGGGATGACTGCCATGCCTGAAATTTATACTCGATATAGTACTTTGAAAAAATTTGTTATCATTGAAGTTCTCCTTGATAACTTCTTGATCTTGTGCACGTAAGATGAGTAGATCAAAAACTAATAGTAATAGGTACCTGGAAGGCTCTTAACATAGCCATGTGATCACTGAATGTTCCAGCAGAAAAATGTCTACGAGACAACCGGGCAGCACTTCTGAGACTTGGGTTGGTTGGAAGAACAAATGGATCCCTAGGAGGACAAGATTTAATTTAAAGAATGAGCTACCTTGTACTGTCAGAGCTACGACACGAAAGTGTTACAGGTTTGTCTATCCAGGGGACCACGGCAACTTACAGGTAGGGTGAATCGAGTAGGCAAACCCACAAACTGCTGTGTCGTAGCCCTAACAACTAGTACATACATTATATAATATATAATTTGTAAAACTTACTTGTAAGCTAAGGTACAGACAATTGTTAGAACTGGATCTAAACACTTCAATAGAATTGCATTTAACAACATCTTTCCAAGACGAGGTTCGATGGGCAAATCCAGAAGATGATGTCCCAATTCAGTTAAATCTTCCCATGGATCAAGGGCATCAATAGTCTAAAATTTCAAGTCAGAGAAAATTAATAAGGCTGTGGTTGCTGGGGTCAAGAGGTCGAAAATTGGTCATAACCACTGACCTTTAACAGATGAACAGCATTTCTGGTCACTAGAAATGGTGGTGGTTCCATGGCTTTGGCAAGAAAATCTGCAATTGCTGTATTTGGTGGAGCTAAAAGTTTTGTGTGTAGGCATAGTTCCTGTCAATAATTGAGAACTCCAAATTACTTGGTGTAATAAAACTTGAACATTATCGAAAGTAAAATAATAACAATGTTGTACCTGTAACGGTAGTCTCAGAATTTCAGGAGTTTGATGATGTTGTAGGGATCGGTACCGTATTTTGGAAAACATGTGATAGCAAAGCCCAGGACGAGTTCTTCCAGCACGCCCTTTGCGCTGTTTAGCACATGCCTGTGATATCCATTCATTTCTTAAAGAACTAACACCTGAGATGGCATCAAACGATTTCTGACACAAGAGGCAAGAAACAAATACATAATTAGAAGTGAAAAACAATAAAGAGCACCTGATTTCCAACACTGAATATGTCTGACATACCTCTTTCACTTTTCCCGAGTCTATCACATAAACTACATCATCAATTGTAACACTGGTTTCAGCAATATTTGTGGACAGTATAATTTTTCTTGTATTGGCTGGAGCAGGTAGGAATACTCTCTTTTGATCACTAGTCTGAAATTAGATCCTATACTTAAGAATAATGTAATATTGATAATATTATGAAAGATTGTGAATAGTTGAATGTTAGACCTGCATATTTGAGTGAAGTGTGTACAAAGAAAACTTGCTCGCCTGAGAAAATTTGTCTCTTTCATCATTGATTCGATCTCGCAATGTTGTGATGACATCATAGCCCGGTAAAAATACCAAGATAGCTCCTGCAATCGAATTTTTACAACTCTCTCAAATAAAAGGAATACTGTTCCCAATTTCAATAAACCAAACTAAGAATTTGGACAAACCTTTATCAGACCGACAATGCAAGTGGTAGATCAGAGCAAGGCACAGCTTAATATCTATCTCATCATCGTTGAAGCTGTGATGATACATTTCAAGTAACTGATGATCTCTAATAGCAAGTTCTTGAGATTTTGCATTAAACACATCCAGTGGCATTTCGGGCATGGTTTCATTTACACTACTTAGAACATGCAGGAAAAACAATGACACATCAGCAAAAGACACAACATAAACAAAGGTAAGTCAAACAAATCATATTCAGACAGTAAAAGCATACCTGGAGTCTTTAAGAAGTTGTGCTATTTGATGGTGACCGTTATTCATGGCCCAGTCAAGGGCGGTCCAACCATTGCCTGACTTTATACTTGTGCTTGCTTTAAGTTTTAGTAAATGTGTGGTCATGTCCATTTCACCTCGACCAGCAGCTACCATAAGAGGAGTTGCCAAATGTGTTGAGTGCTAAGCGCAAATGTATGGTTTAGATCTAATATTTATGAAGCAATTACAAGAGAGGGATGTGTTAAAAATGAAAGAATGTAAACTTACCTGATAGTCAACAGGAACATTTTCTGTTTGAATGAAATAAAGAATTTGGGGAAACGATTCTTCCGCACCATTTTTCCATACTTCATCGATGCAATTATCCATTTGCTCTATCATCCAAGGATCTAATGCCTGGAATTGAATTGGACATTTGTATGATTTGGTTTGAAATTTAATCACTAAAAAGTGAAACAAGAGGAATACCAACCTCTTTTTGCTCCTCGGAAGTTGAGGACTCCAGAGAAAGATCAGGCTTTGAATCATAGTCCTCTTTAATTTCTTGGTTGCTGCTAGCAGCACGAGTCCAGTTTTCAAATTCTGTTCTTTGAATGTTGTTTTGACCTAGCTCTTTCTTTAATTGAGGAATGTCACTATTTAAATAGCCAGTTCTGGAAAATAAGAAGCAACAATAACACTTCAGTGCTGAATATATTTAACAAAAATGAAATGAAATAAAAACCAGAAGAAAGAACGGCGCCGACGAGCACCTCAAATAAAAGAGTGTAGTAAGTATCACACAACTTACATTTTCAAAACATCCTCCAAAAAATATTCCTGTACCTCAAATTGACGTCCAGGAACTGTAAATTTTATGATAAATTAAAATTTGGGGAGAAAATGGTTTTAAAAAAGGAAATAATAGGAAAACAAAACAGCAGAAGTAAATAAAGATGTGTCATGGTAACAATACCTGTAATCACAGGGCAATCACCAAAATATTTGGTGAATACACTTATGTCCATCGTTGCAGACATTAGGATGAGTCGTAAATTTTTGTATTTCAAAAGAGCATCTTTAAGGGTAATTAGAAGGAAGTCAGAAAAACGATCACGCTCATGAACTTCATCCACAATAATGTGAGTGAGAGTGGAAAGTATAGCATCACCACCCATTAATGTTCTTAATAACACTCCATTGGTGCAATATGTTAATACTGTTTTTGGTGAGACTCTAAAATAACAAAATATTTGTCAATTTTTGAGGAAAGTATCAGATCTAAAATATGTCTCACTCATCAAATGGCTGTATTACCTGCTTTCAAGACGTATCTGATAGCCAACTGATTGCCCTAATATTTCATTTCTTTCATAAGAAACTCTTTCACTCACAGATACAGCTGAAATACGTCTAGGCTCTGTACACACAATACGGCAGGGTTTCCTATAGTTTTGACAATGTTCCAAGATAAACTGTGGAACCTGTCAAAATAGCAGCAAACACAGAAGATAAGTAAAGATTCCATAACTTGAACATTTTTCAGCACATACATTTATGAAAGCTTGCTTACTTGAGTTGTCTTCCCTGATCCTGTTTCGCCAGCAATGAGAACTGTTTGGTTGTTTGAAATGGTGCGAACTATATTGTCCTGCATTTCCCAAATGGGAAGACTTTTTCTAAATGGGAGTAATTCAGGATTGTAGTTAGCTGAAGGGACTTGGGGTACACCACTACTCAATCGGCCCATAGCTCGTCCTATCTCTTTCACTAAATGAAAAGTGTCAATTGTTAGAAAAGTCAACAGAAAACGTGACCAAGACAACAAATATTTACCACAAATACCTTCTGCATTCAAAATTGCTCGCTCTCTGTCACGTTCAAGTTGAGGCATTAAGTCTTGTCGCTCTTTGGCATTGAGTGGACACTCCACAAGTAATGTTTTAATAAGTAAGCGAGAGTTAGGGCAGAGATCAAAAGCAGGATCAGCTTGAACAATGCTTGAACCTTCCCTCTTATATACTGTTACAGCTCTATTAACTCCATTTTTGCTGTAAGTTCCAAGGTTTGTAAAAGTCATTTATTAAGTCATGCAAGAGTAATATCTCCTCATATTTAATACTAATAGCAGCTGTTCCTTACCCTCTGCTTTTGGACCGCAACCCATATTCCTTGGCCATATTATGAATGTATGCTCTTTCCTCAGCAAAGAGAGATGAGGGAAATTCACACTCTAGAATACAGTTACACTTGTAGTACTCACAAAAACATAAAACATACAAAAAAGTAGTTAAATCATAACACAAACCAGTTGCAGAAGGATCCTCAAGAAACTTTTTTAGCTGCAGCTTTACAGCAATGCGAACCTCTTCACCAATGTTGCCGGCCTTCTGACCTCTCCGATTGGTTGGCTTCTTTCGTGGCATGTTGAATGGTCAATGTACTAACACAGACAAGGCACAAAACTTACTTTACATTATTTGAACAGAAACTTTTAAATTGTCTTCACAATAGAAAACATTGAACAAAATCCACCAGGAAGTGAAAGACAGTAACCTCATCACATAGGAAAATTCAGTTCAAGTATATAGACAGAACCCTACACCATGAAAATGCATCTCAAGAAAGTGATTGAGTCATATAACACAAACAAGAAAAGCTTGTTTTAACTGGTCAAAACTGAAAAGGAAAACCTGTTACCTGCTTGGTCTTAATAGTCCTTTTCTCAATATCGTCTTCAATCAAAAACTATGACAGCAGCCAACACTGTCGTCAACGACGTTAACAACCACAGTCAAATGGGATTCATGCTTGCTTACGAACACTGTCGCTGTCCTTTTCTAACTGAAAATCACAATATACATTTAAAAACTAAGCACAAATGACAGGGAACGCGAAGGGGAAGGGGGAGGGAAAAGGAGGGGGGGCAGGTAGGGTTAAGCACGATTAAGGAAGAAGTAATGGGAGAGTGGTTCGAGCAAAAACTCACTGAATTCACAAGAATATTGTGAACGCAATGCCGTTCTTGAATTTTTGGTTTAGCCTTACTTTCTTTCACCTTTTGTCCTTTCAAAGCCTTAAAATTTTCACCGCCTTCTGTAACTTCTTCAGATTCAGATTCTTCATTGGCAGATCAACATCCGGTTCTGTCGGTTGTGTTGTTTTGTTTCCGGTGAGAGCAGACGCGCCGCTCTGTTGCTGTTGCTGTTGAGTACCCAACACGATGTAGAAAGACCTCTCTCTACATCGTGGTACCCAACCCATCAGTACCTTGAGTCAGTACCCATCATTTATGAGTAGGCCCGTATATGGTCACTCAAACATATTATTATTTTGTGAAAATGTATTTATTGCATTTCTATATTTCCAAAGTGCCCGTTCAGTGCACTAGAAACTCGGACGTCGGCGCGGCGGTTCGAATCCGAATTTTTCTCTGGCCTTAAAATTCCGAGTGGACTTCAAACCAGCCACGCCGCCATATCACCAGGTCGACCAGGTCTCTCTCGTCGTGCTCCTACGGCGCCCACTAATTTGTAGAACTCAGCCAGAAATGAAAGTCGATTCGACGTCGAAACAACGATGTAGAAATGGACGTGAACTCAACTTTCATTTCTGGTGGTGAAGGGACGTGACAGCCGAGGTCCCCGGCCCAAGTAGCAAAATCGAGCAAACTGCATTTTAAATGTTCTGCCTTTAAGGCGCATTTTAGGTGCGTCCACGCGCATGTTATGCGCATTTTAGGCGCGTTAGACGGAACATAAAATGCAGTTTTAGTGCAGTTCTGCTACCTGGGGGATGTGTTCTCCCGTGTACGTTCGGCGACGCTGACACCAAAAAGAGTGTGACTTCACTGAAAAAAGTGTGCTATTTCTACTTGGGGGTCGACTAGAATTTATAATACACGGCCCCCCTTTCTCAGATTCATACGATCATTCTGCAAATTACGAGAGGTAGGCGCCTGCGAGACTCAAGGTAGGCCTCCACGCAGTACACACAAGCACTACAGGCGAGATGTTGCCTACCTAGAGGGCGCTGAGACCTTGTATTAGGACGGACGCACTTTTTGGCAATGTTCAAACCACAATGAAGGGCGGTAATTGAAATTAAAGAACTAGTTTATCCATTAACAAAAATTAATTTACGTCTCCCTCGTTTTAAATTACAGCCAGCTAGCAACAGAATCATTCATGCCAAGGACCATATGGCAATGCATGCTTCCGTTCGGATCAATATTGCTGATATAGACACAGTGACAGGCATCATGCTTGACACATTCTATAGGTATACCATGGCATTTTAGCTTAGGTTCTATTTTCTACAATAATTTAATTGAATTACTGCATCATTTTAATTAATTATCTTTATTTTCTTACAAACTTTACACACGTTTTGTTTAAATTTACTTACATTGAGAATCACATCACAGGATTTGAGCCTACACTTCGATTTGGAAGTCGTCCACCTGCAAGGGTAGGTGGAAGGCATCAACTTAAAACATGCAGCAATATGCAGAGCCTCTGTTGTACATCATTTTAGTGGAACAAAATGTCTTACTTTATCAGAGTTAAAAGGGGGTGTAGGTTGATCCATTGACAAAAGAATTTGTTCCATTTTTACAGAGATGTGTGCAATTGCATATTTTTACAATTCTGTCCTAACTGTTGATTTTTGAACCCACAAAGAGCAGAATCAGCAGGAAGAGGAAATGATATTTTCCTACTCCAACCTCTAGACAAGAGCTGCTGAGATGAGGGGTGCTAATGTTAGCCGTGATTGTGGCTTGGATGTTGGTCTTCTTTTTTGTACCGTCATCTGCGACAACGCTGCTGGCCACAACTTCAGGCTGGGGGCCAGGCTGTATGGAGTTGGGTGCAGCGACCTTCCCCAGTTCGGGACCGCCACACATGTGGTCCTGTGGACAGACAGCAGACAGGTAGTGTTTCACGTTTCACAGCGACACGATGTGCGGAGGAAACGGTGTGGAGCGGGAACGCGCAATGAGTGACACGCACCTTTATCCTGGGCGGCGCCGTGTAGTTGTCCTTGCCCGAACGGCAGCGCTCGGCGAAGTCGACGAGGCAGGCGATGTAGGCGATGGCGTGCGGGATGTAGGTCTGGTCCATGGAGCCGCCGAGGAGCGCGGCCGCCAGCGGCCCCTGGGAGTACACGGGGACGTCCTCGCCGCCGT